TTTAAGTAAACTAGTAAGTAAAGCAATAATATAAGAATACTTCTTTATACAATAGTAGTAAAAGTTAGCAAAACTAAAGATAACTTATATATTTTAATAAAAGCTTAGTATAAGCTATTTCTTAATTAGGCAAACCTAGTCTAAGTCTATACTAATGCCTTTTATACTAATTATGTATCTTAAAAATTCAACTTAAGTCTAAAATATCTTATACTTTTTAAGGTTAGTAAAAAGCTAAGCTGCTTAAAGGTGCTTATACACTTAGTAAAGGTACTACTAGTAGTCCTCTTTATAGTTAAAGTAAATTAGTATATTATTAAGATAAACAATATAGTAAATATTTAAAAGATTAAAGAAGGCTTTATAAATATATGCTTAAAACGTTACTAGTATAATAGTTAACTTAAATAGTATAATTATATATTTAAAATAGCTATACTAAGTATAAAAAGTAGTCTTTTACTAGTTAGTCTTTTTAATATAAACATAGTAGTACGCGTCTTTAAGATTTATCTTTAAATATACTATAGCGCTTATTAGTTTATTAGTTCTTTAATAAGTAGTAGTAAGTAGTAGTTCTTATATATTACTTAGTTAAGGCCTTAGTAGTTAATATAAAGCTATAGCATCTTATCTTCTTAAGGATAAATAAGATTAGCGCGCTACCTAGGCTAGTAAAGTACTAAATATATTTATTATATAGGTTTTTCTTAATATACTCTTATAACTTATAAAGCTAGGTTGCTAAAAGAAGGTAAATAAGCTTATAAAAGAGCTGCTTATTTAGTATAATATTAATAGTATATTCTATACTTTATAGTACTAATAAGAGTTTTATAGCTGCTAAAGATATAATATCTATAAAGTTAATAAAGTAAGCTAAAAGTAATAAGGTATCTTAGTCTATAGTATTCACTTTATTAAGAAAGTTTACTATAAGTTTTTTTAGTAAGTAAATATTTATAACTTAGATTATAAGAATGCTAAGGCTAAGGCGCACTAGTAATATATAAGCTATAAACAGCTATTCTTTATATATAGCATTCTTTACTAATTATAAAAAAGTAACTTTCTAGATATAACTAAACTTTTAAAAAAAGTTAGTAGTATTAATATAAATGCTAAATAGTGCTATCCTACTAAAGAAGAGTAGAATTAGTACTACTAACTTACTACGTTTAATAGCATAGTATAAAATTATAGTAGTGCGCAACTTACCTTTAGCATTAACTAGCATAAAAAAGTACTAATATACCTTATATACGTAAATATACTTTTTGCTTATACTTTTAAGATTTAGTCTATAAAACTATACCTTTTTTAGTTATAACTTATAAGCAAGTTTTTAGCTAATAACTAAGATAGTAGTAGCTATATTTAGCTAAGCTAGTATTAGCACTTATTTTTTACTAATAAAGCTATTTAAATAAGCTTTAGTAATAATAAAGCAGTTAACTAGCATCTTAGCCTTTTTATATCTCTTTTACTTCTTTAGTATAGTAAAAGAGGTAAAAGAGTCTTTCTTTACTATAAAACGTTTTCTAAATTAAAAAAGAGTTTCTTTATATATACCTTTACTAATATTTTTTATATTAGTACTATAGCCTTGAATCTTTCTAAGTAGTTATAACTAATATACTCTTACTTACTATAATAGTAGCATTTGCTAATCTAGCCTATTATAGTTTTACTTTATAATATCTAGTTTTACTATAGCTTTAGTTTATTTTAAAAAGGTAGTAAAGTTAGCTATTAGCTAGGTAGTATTGTTTAGCTATACTTATTATTATTTATTACCTTTTTAGTTATAATTCTAGCGCTTATTTAATAGTTTGTTTTTAAATATAAAGGCTACTTAACTAAAGTTTGTATATATATATAATAATTATACGCGCATCTTATAACTTAATAATAATAATTAAACGTTTATAGCAAGTTATATACTTTATTTTTATTAAGCTATTAGTATAGAATTTACTATTAGTAAAAGAAATCCTTAAGAGTTTTATTACGCTGCTAGTAGCTAAAGAAAATATTATTTTAATGCTTAAGCTTTATTTACTTAAGGTTTAAATACTTCTTATAAAGGTAGTTAGTAATTTACTTTTAAAACGCTTTTTTATTAAGACTTACGCTATTTAGCCTTATCTTATATACTCTTTATTTTATAGTAATTACATTAAAAAGCTATAATAGCGCTTATAAAATTTTATAGTAAACAAATATATATAGTTAGTTATTATTTATAGCTTCTATACTTTAAATTTAATCTTTAATCTTTACTACTATAGCTTTACTATTAAAAACTTAGACTATATAGGTTAGTATATATATATTATTCTTTTAAAGCGCTATTTTTATAATAGCCAAGGTAGATAGTTTTATAGCTTTTTTTATAGTTATTAGTAGTACCTTTATTAGTTTCTTAAGCTAGTTATTAAAGTAAATTAATAAATTAATACTTAACTCTTTTAAGAGTTGCTTAGCAGCTAAGGTTACGCTATACATATTTTATAAGAAAGCTTTATTAAGATTTATATTAATAGCTATTATACTTATTAATAAGCCTACTTCTTTATACTCTACCTTACTAGCTACTACTAAATGTATAGTTATAGCGCTAGCTAACAATTTGCTTATAAAAGGCTTTAGTATAAAGGTTATACGCATTACTTTTTTTTCTTTTGCTATTATAATAAACTATAAAACTTAAAAGAAATAAAAAAATAAAGAATTATAATAAGTATTACTTAAAGTATATAATTTATAGTAAGATAGAATATAAAATAAAAGGTATAAAAAAGAGTAAAAGTAAAAGTTCGTTTTACTCTATTTTAATTTATTACTAGCAAGCGTTTACAAAATATATATATGCTATAATAGCAGTCTAGTATAGCAAAACGCTTTAAGGCGCTTAGCAAAGCTTACTAAGCGTTATTTCGCTTATTCGCTATCGGTCGCCGAATCTAGCTTAGCGCCCTTAGCGGAGCTCGGCAATACTTTTTTCTACTACTAGGCAAGACTTGCCGAACGCCCTACTCCGGCCCCGCTAAGCCTTGCGCGGTCTGCACATACTTTATTCTGCGAGCTTGCCTAAATAATTACTAATTCGTGCTAGCATCTTGCACTCTAGTTAATCCCTTTATAAATATCTCTTACTATAGCAAATATAAAGGATTAGCTTAATTTTATACGTAACTAGATTAAAAATAATAAAGAATTGCTTTTTATATATTATATTTTGTTAATACTATAAATCTTAGCTAATTTGCTAAACCTTCTTCTTTAATAAAAGTAGCTGCTAAAACGTTGTAAATAACAGTGCTATTTTCCTTTTTTAAAAATCTACGCAAAAATGGCTATAAAACTTTATAAAACTTTAATTATATAAGAAACCTACTATTTTATTAATGTTTTAAGGTAGAATTTAAAAGGGAGGCTAAATAAAGTTAATCTTCATAAAGAAAGACTTTAGTAAAGGCAAAAAGGTAGCTATACTTTATAAAGCTATTAAAAAGAATTGAAAGAAAGCCTTCTACCTTCTTATAATAGTTTTCGTTACTTTTAGCAAGATAACGCAAAGGTATATATATTTACATTGTTAATAAATTAGCTAGTAAAGAACTAAATTAAGCTGCTTTCTTTTTAGCTTACCTATAGTTTAGATTTAAATATAATTAAGCATGTTTAGGCCTAAATAAAGCGTATTTTAATTAAAAAATACCCTACTATACAGGAATTAAAGAAAAACATTATAGATTCTGCTGCTTTTAAGGCTGCTATTTAAGACTATTAGTAGTTAATTAACTCTTTAGTCTAGCGCTTAGCCGCTATACATAAGGCGCATGGCTAGTATACTACATATTAAAGAATATTACTTAATCTATAATGTGAATACTTTTTTTAGCTATTAAAAGTAGTATAGCAGGCGGTATTAGCTGTTAAAGACAACGTACCCCTTTGTACTGTTGGCCGGGAAATCTGGTTAGCAGGGCGATTTTTCGATATTTTTAGGAGGGCGCTGTATATACAAAGAAAACCATTAGCGACAGCTTGCTAAAGCTTAGTAGACTACCTTACTAATTTGTTCTGCTTATTAATATAGCTATAGGGCTCCTAGCACATAAGACTGCGCTAATAAATTAGTGGTAAATATAGTGTTAATAAGTTAAACGTACTATTCACCTACTTATTTTGCTAAAAGCGGTGAGCCCTTTCTTTTGCGAGGGACCTCCGTACTTGTAGGGCTTTGGCGGTGAATATATTGCGCGCTAGTACTCCGTAGAAGCTAGGTAGGCTTTATAGTTTTAAACCAATGGCACCAGTTTATGTGGGACAACGGTATCCCACTTTAGTGCAAATAGCCAAGTCTAGTAGTGCAAATAGATTTGCGTCGTATTCTACTCCGTATGCTTTGGACTCGTCGCTCTATCAATTCCCTTCCTTCCATCCCTGGACTAGGGAGAGGAGAATTAGGAACTTTACGACGTACACCGCACGTTTACATACGATACAGCAACCGATTTCCGATTTTTACACGAGATATCGCGTTCCCCTGACACTAGTGACTAGGGTCAATGCGCTACCACCATGTCGGTGTGGGCTTTTATTCTACACTACATTCAATTCTCCACTGAGAGAGCTCGTGTTCCTGTAGCCGGTGTGACTGTATGTTATCCATCCAAGATAAAAATAAGTTTACTAGGCTTTACTAGATCAATGAGGCAGGTCGTGTATCAATGAAGCAGGTCCCTGTCGTGTTAAACCAGGTCAACACGAGGTAGCGGTCCTTGTCAGCTTGGCATATCGATGACGACGGGATGTCGGGAACAGTATAATCGCGGAAGGCTGCGGAAGACTGTGGATAAGGCCGGCTATGGTATTTACTTTATCGTCGAGATACTCTGGAAAATGCTATAAGGAGCCTGTGGGAAAAGAGGGCAATTTCAGCTGTGGCTAGCCAAGTCGTGTAGGTGGACATACTCCTTGACTCTTGCAACATGCGAGCAGACTTCTTTTTTATCATGTCGGCGCTGCTGCTCGTCGGCATCGATGGCTCCCGCGTCGTCCGCCGCACAGCGAGCGATGCGTTGCCTGACAGCAAGCCGTCCAATAGGACGGGCGTTGCGCCCAACAAGTTCATTGTGGAAGTGCAAGAGGGCGCCGACAAGCAGGCGCTGATCCAGGACCTGGAGTCGCGCACCGGCAACAAAGTCGTCACCGTTTTTGACTCGCCAATCTTCAACGGCTTCACGGTCGAGTCCAGCAACGAGAACGCAGACACACTCCAGGCTATTGGCGCTGTTGCCAAGACATGGCATGCTGGCATCGTCACTCTGCAACCGGTGAAGAGTGGCTTATTATCCATGGCCGGTTCTTCAAGCACTTCTGCCAGCAGTGGATCCTCAAGCGGCGCCTCAAACGGTTCCTTCGTGGTGCCCAGGGCTCCCAAGTACAGCGTGCACCAGATGACGGGCGTGGACAAGCTGCACGAAGCCGGCATTTATGGGAAAGGCGCCATAGTTGCCATGATCGACACGGGTGTGCAATATGACCACGAGGCGCTCGGTGGCTGTCTGGGCCCTGGCTGCAAAGTGGCCAAAGGCTACGACTTTGTCGGAGACAACACGTACTGGCCGTATCCAGGCTACAACAGGACTCCTGACAACGATCCCAACGACCAGCAGGGCCACGGCACCCATGTGGCGGGCATTATTGCCGGAAACAGCAGCGTGTAAGTAGGAAGAAGAAAGGAAAAGAAGAAGACAAGACAAAACGCGGCAAACTTACTCTTCTGCATTATAGGATTACGGGTGTTGCCCCCGAGGCCACTTTGTACTCTTACAAGGTGATTGGCCAGGAGGGCGGCACGGAAGAAGACATCCTGATCCAAGCATTCCTTATGGCTTATAACGATGGGGTAAGAAGAAGGACAGATCAAGACTTCTCATTTTCTACCCACTTATTTGACTGACATCATTACATTATAGGCCGACATTATCACTGCCAGCGTCGGCTCCGACGGTGGATGGAGCACCGACGCCTGGGCCATGGTGGCCTCGCGCCTTGTAGAGGCCGGCGTCGTCGTCACCATTGCGGCCGGCAACAGCGGCGATACTGGGCCCTTTTACTTGAGCTCTGGCGCGTCGGGTGAAAACGTGCTTGCCATCGCCTCCGTCGACAACACCGTCGCCGTTGCGCGGCCCTTTGGCGCCACGTTTGTCCGTGCGGACGGCCAGGCCAACACCACCGTGCTGGGCTACCGGTCCCACGACCGCCTGTTCCCGGCCGACGTGAAGGGCTGGCCTATTGTGCCCATTAGCTTGGACACAACAGTGACGGATGACGCCTGCGAGCCGCTGCAGCTGCCGACCAAAATTGGCGGGTACAGCGACCTGTCCCACGTCGTGCCTCTGGTGCGCGTCGGCGGCTGTGAGGACTACATCAAGCTAAGGAACCTGCACAACGCCAATGCGTCGTGGGCACTGTACTACATGGACGACGAGCCCATTGTCGGCTGGTCCAACGTGGGCTTTACCAACACGTCGTGGTCCCTGATCTCCAAGAACGCCGGCCAAGGCATGGTAGACGTCATTGCGGCCGGCGGCAACGTCACCGTCGACTTTGCCACACACCAGAACGAGTCGCAGGTGGCCATGGAGGACTTTGGCGGCGGGCTGCCGTCTTCATTCACCTCGTGGGGCGCCACGTTCGACCTGACCCTCAAGCCCGACATTGCCGCGCCCGGCGGCCATATCCTGTCGTCGTACATCAGCGATCCCGGCGTGCCCGCAAACGTCTACCATGAGCTCAGCGGCACCAGCATGGCCACTCCCTACGTGGCCGGCGTGGCCGCCCTCTACATTGGCCAGCATGGCAGTCTGCGTGGCACCAAAGGTGCCCTCAATCTGCACGCACGCATCATCAGCTCTGGCCGTGCTTTGCCCTGGGCCGACGGCACCGGCCGCGACTTTGGCCACCTGGCTCCGCCTTTGCAGGTCGGCGGTGGCCTGCTGGATGCCGTGGCCGTGCTAGACTACCACACACAGATCTCGTCCTCATCGTCCCAGATGAAGCCCAAGATCTCGCTCAACGACACCCACCACTTCTCGCGCTACCACGATATCGACATTGTCAATACCGGGCCGACCGATCTCGAGTACACCTTTGACCTCGAGGAAGCCGGCGGATTCGAGTCGTACTGGACGGCCGAGGCCGCCGACCAAAACATTACGGATGTGCCGCGGATCAAGGATCTGTCCGAAATTGAGCCCTTTAACATTTCGACGCCCGTAACGCTGCCGCAGGGGAGCTTTGTCGTTCCGGCCGGGCAGACCAAGAAAGCACAGTACGTTGTTGTCAAAGAGAGAGAGAGAGAACTGGGCGTTTCCTACCTATAAACTAACAACTATGGCTAGCTTGTCTTTTGATATCCCAGACGGACTGAACGCGACGAGAATGCCAGTCTGGAGCGGCAAGGTGGTCATCAAGGCGAGCAACGGGGAGCAGCTCTCGGTGCCCTATTTCGGTATGAAGACATGTCCACAGACAACGACAGGATCTGAAGTCCCAGTCTCTATGCGCTAACAGACATCTTCGCTTTTAGGAGTCGGCGCGAGCATCGAGCACATTTTTGGGGACGTCTGGTACTCAGAGGCTGGGTTTCCATATTCGATGTCGGGCCTGAATAAAACGCGTATCGAGGAGAAATCAACGTAAGTCTCAGTGTCATCGAGGGACGAAGAGAGAAACCCCCACCTTTGACTCACCATGACTGCAGATACACTTTCAACCTCTCGCTTCAGGCCCAGGACTTTCCTAAGATTCGCTGGGTCCAGCAATGGGCATCGACCGAACTTCGTTGGGATGTAAGTTAATACAGTAGCTGTAGTAGACCCCAAGAACAGAAAGCCCTGGCTGGATTCCGACACGCTGACACGCTGATCACGCACAGATCTTTGATGCCTCATACAACGAACGCCAATGGAACTACCCGCCCGTCGTCGGCCAGGGTCACTTCGTCGGCTCCGTCACCAGCTTCGACTGGCAGCAGAGCACCAACTACCCGAACTTCGACCCGGCAACCGACAACCCCAACAACACCGTGGCCTATCCTATGCACGAAGTGCTCCGGGACGATGTGTATGAGGCTTGGTGGCTAGGCCAGCTGGCCAACGGCTCGACCATTACGCCGGGCACGTACAAGATGCGCTTTGCGGTGTTGAAGCCGTTTGGCGACCCGACGCACTCGGACAATTGGAGCATCTGGAAGACGCCGGACATCACCGTTGAGTAATGAGACGTAGAGATAGCAGATATGAATTGTCTCGAAGGTTGTTTATCTTCAGCCCACCAGCCTGATTTCCCGCTATTCGTATGTAATAAAATTTTGAAAGGCGGAAAATCAGCTCTGTCAAAATTACATGGATTCCGTGTGATTATCTATTCATAGTGTCCTCAGTGCTAAGTCGATAATAAGTTAATAACTAGAAGTCTACGGAGTACTACGGGGTACTTTGAAAGAATTGTCAGACACAAGTAGTCAACTGAAGTACATATATGCCGATAAAAGACAGCTGTCGTACCTATACAAGCTCTACCACCCGCCTTTGAAAGATAAAGAACTCCAGAAAACTCCCATTTTCCCCACGGCCAAGGCTACAGTCTCTTTACGGTGTTGTGCCAATAGATAGTACGTCTTTAAAACCCCCATTTAAGAATCCGACATGTCTAAGTCTTTCTGCAGCGTCTCCACTTCTATGCAGAACCTGTCCAAACCAAGAGATAGGCCCTGTGGAAAGTGAGATGCAATCAAATATGTCTTGCATAAGATCGTAATGAATCTGGTCGCCAAACGATAGCGGAACAGACGGTGTAAGAGGCTAGAACAACGTGCCGCGCCGACCTCCAGTTACTCCGTCCTCTCTAATAGATGTTATGTTAAAATATAAGAGTTGCTATTTGTACAATAATTTTTTGCTATCTGTACGATATGTCGAATTATAGGTGCCTAGTAAGCATAAATGTATTGTTATGGTTAGGTGCTTCCGAGGTATGCCGACGTGCGTTAAAACACGTACTAAATAGCCCCGTCCGCCACCCAGTACATGTATTCTTACATTACACTGTATAATCGTGCACGCCCCTCCTATTCTAGTCTGGTTTATTCGACACACCCCTTTAGAGCTGCTTTCTTTTCTTAGGCAGGTTTGGCATAGCTTTAAAGGTCTTTTATACTTGCAGTTTAGTAATAGTCTACGCTTAAATTAGGTATTATATTTTAAATTAGGCACTAACGTAGTCTATTATAGCCTCTTCTAGTCTTCCTTAGTATAGACAAAAGCTATTAAATTAGCGCTATTGTCTTACCTTTCTTTATCTAGGTAACGCCTTTACTCTAAGATTTAACTTTAAATATTATTAGGTTTAAGGCGCTTTATAAATTTGTTATACTTCTAACTTAGTAATCCTTTTATAAGACTATTAGCTAGCATCTTTATTATTTTTACTTATTAAAGGTAAATTTAGTGCTTCTTAACTTCTTGCCTTAACTAGTAATTTTAAATATATATATATTAAAGTTTTATATTTAACCTTATAAATGTTAAAGGTGTACTTAGGTAGGCTAGGTAAGTTAGGCAGGCAAGGAGGTATCTTCTTAACAAGAAGAAGCAGCCGTATATTCAATAGCTAATTCTTGCCACCTGCACTCTAAGGGAGTGCGGGAGGCGCTCTTTATCGTAGGCGCACCTCTAGCGCACTAAGTGCGCAGGGCAGGCGCGACCCCGTTTCTACTTGGCCCGTGCGCTAGCACGTGCTGTGGCCTGTGCGCAGACTGCGCCACGCAGCCTGCGCCACAAGCATCGCTTCTAGTCTACAATATGCATCTAATACGCTGTGCGCGTACTGCGTACGGCTTGCGCGTAGCCTGCGTCGGTCCCCTTCCTAGGGCGGCGTTACAATTGCTCCCCTCCTGTGCCTGACTCCTTTAAGGCAGGTCTTAACGAAAGGCTTGCAGCCTTTGTTCCTAGTGGTGGTGGTGCTTGTCCGTTTGCGGCGGCCCCTTTGTGCTTGCTAAGATTGCTGTTAAAGGCGACTTAAGGCGCCTTTAGTTCCCTTTATTTAAGAGGTTAGTCCCGTAGTCAAATTAGATTATTGTAGGGTCTAGCATCCGGTTACTTCTTCTAGAAACAACAAATTCGTCTTCTAGCAGCAATATGGCTGCTCCTAATTCTAACGCTCCTATGCTCGCAGTAAGCGCCTCTAGCGCTCTAGTACCCGCTGCGGCCCCGGCCCTTGCTCCCCGACACCCTTTGCCCTTTGGCCGAGGTGCTGGTTCTAGCCGCGCGCAACGTGCGCGCGGGGCTTACGCTAGCCTAGTTTGTCGTTTTACGCGGACTACGGCGCGCGCCGTGCCCTTGGTTAGGCCTTTGGTGGCCTGTTAAGGTGCGGGAGCTGCCCTTGCTAGTTTAGCGCTCTTAGGGTTAGTGGCGGCTGCGCTACTAGCTTACCCTTAGGTCGCCTTAGACGGCTTGTTGTGCGTGCAGTGCTTGCATTGCTTTTTAACGACTTTCCTTGCAGAGTTGCCTAGGTTTGCGGCTATGCTGTGTATTTATAGCATTGCTAGCGCTAGGCGCTACGACGGCTGCCGTGCTAGTAAGCACGAGTATTGCAGGGTAAGTCCCTTTTAGTAGCTATAGGCAGCTTTAGTAGCTAATAAAATATAGGTTTTCTTGCTAATAGTTAGTAACTAGGCTAACTTTAAAATAGTACTATATAGCCTTAATAAAAAGCTTTATAGCTAAGGTTTGCTTATAGTGCGCGCGGCACTTACGCGTGCTATAGGTGCTTTTATTGCTACCTTATTATAGGTAGATAAGTAGTAGCAGCCTACGTTGCTAAGGGTGTTGTTAGCTGCTAATGTTATATAAATAAAGCTTAATCTTTGCTAGAGTATTAAGGCTTAGAAAGAGGCTTAATAGGTAGCCTGCTAGGTAGAAGCCTAGCAAGCTTTATTAGCTTAAATGCACTTACTATTGCTATATACGCCTTTTTTATCTTTGCTGCTTAGGCCTACTACTTTAACTTTTTAGTAGCTTTCTTAGCTACTACGTTTAATACTTAGTAATACTAGTTATACTACCTTTACTATAGCTTTTAATACTTTTCTTAAGGTAGTAGTAAAGGTATATATTATAGATAAAGCTTATACTAAGGTAGTAGCTAGCGTAGCGTTGCTTTAAAGGCTTCTTAGATAGTTTTATATAGTCTTTTATAAGGCCTTTTAGCCGGTTAAATTAATTTTAAGCTCTTACCTATATATTTTTATCTTTACGCGCTTACTATGCGCATACTACTTAATTGCTATATATGCATTTTTTATATCTTTTTTTAGCACTTACTAGTTATATTTAGTTAGCTAGCCTGTCTAACGTACTAGGTATTTAGTCTAGCTAGCTTTACATCCTTTATTTGTTATCTAGGTCTTTTAACGCTAGCATTATAAAGGCGCTTATTCTACGCTTGCCTTACTCTCTTAATGCTTTAATAGCAAGACTAAGAAAACGTTATATAGTTAGCTATATTATTTTAGTAGTGCTAGTTAATATGCTTGTTTGCCTATAGTCTTAAGAATTCTAAAAAACTTAATGCGTCTTAGTATTAACTTTTTATTTTTTAAGTAAAGGTTTTTTTATAAAAAGGCTTATTAGCTCTTTTACTATAAAGCTTATAGGCTAGTAGCATGCATTATAATAACGCTTTTAGCGCTTTATTATATGCTTTTAGTTTGCTACTAACCTTTTTTATATAGCTTTTAGTTTTTTTAAGTAGTTATACACTACTAGGACTATATTATACGTATCTTACTTCTCTTTTATAGTTGCGCTGCCCTTAAGGTAAGTTTATAAGTCTAGTTTTTAACTATATAACGCTTTAAATAGGCTAATTTTAGTTGTTACGTTAATAGCGTTATTATAAGCGTACTATACTAAAGATAATAAAAAGGGCTAATTTAATTGCTTTTTATTATAAAGTAGCGTAAGTACTACTTTAACGTTTAGTTAAATCTCTTTATTTACCTGTCTATCTAAAGGTAAAATGCAGTTAATAACTACCTATAAATTCTAGTCTAACAGTAATATTTACTCTAGAATTTACTAGTAAATATACTTCCTTAGTTAAAGATTATACTCTCTAGTATAATGCTATATACTAGTTTTATATATTAGTATATAAGGTGCGTAAGGCTTTTAGCTATTAAGGTAGTCTATATAAGTAAAAAAAAGGTTTATTTTTATAAAGCGGTTAATAATTACTAGAATTGCATTTACTTTGCCGCCTATGCTTGCTTTAGCTACTAGTAGCCTAGTAATTAAGTTTCTTACTAAGAACCTTATAGTAGTAGTAGCAAGTTTAGCTTACTATATTGCGCATGCTATTTAATTGTCTATCTTTAGCAAACTAAGCATAAGGCAATATAAGCCTTTACATCCTTCTTTATTTCTTCCTAGTAAAAGTAGCAACAAAGTAGTTTTAAGGTCTTAGCAACTATAAAGTGCCTAGAGACCTAGTTATTATAATAAAGCTATAGTGGCTTTTAACAAAGGATATACGCGCCGCCTATATATAGGCAGTTTTCTTATAGTAATATACTATCTAGTGTAAGGCTTTATAGCTTTGTTGCACCTCTTACGCTTATAGTACGCTTTATGCGTGCCTTAACGACTTATACCTTTAAGTTTACGTCTTAGATTCCTACTATTGCTTTATAAATAGCTTTAGAGACTTTATTTTCTTAAAGGTATAAATATAAGGCAGCAACGATAGCTAGTTGCTACGGTAGGCTAGAGTATACTAAGTTCTTATTTACGCCTATTAAAGGCGTTAAACCCTTAATTAACGCTATAGTAGTAATATCCTTAAGGTCTTCTTAAGGTTTCTTATAGTTATCTAGCCTTCTTAGTTTATTACGCTTTGCCTACTTAGGCGGTATGCTATTTTACGCTATAGTAGCTTGCTATATAAGATTTAAGGCTATTAAGATCTTAGAGGTAGCGCTTAGCTCCTCTTCTTTGCTAGGTCTTTTTATAGGTATATATATCTTACGCGTCTTATTTATATACGCTACGTTAGTAACTAGCTTAGCGCTATTGTCTTTTATAATAAGTGCGTGCATTTTGTGCGTCTCTTACGCTATAGCTATAGTGCTTGCTAACTATACGTCTTTCTTTTATACCTTAGTAATAGTTATTCTAACTTATTTAATTTATTAAAGTAATCTAGCTGTTTTAATAG